TAGGGAAAATGATCCTGTTTCCTATTGCCAGAAGCTGGAGAGTCAGAAACCGAGCACAGATTTCCTGCTGGACAACCAGGCACCGCTGTCTTGTGGCAACCTGTATTCGAAGTACAACGTTATAGGGTAACATGGTTATGACTGATGATAGGAATTTGTTTTCTCCTGCTCATTCAAAACGCTGATCAAGTAAAAACAGTTTAAAGGCTCACAAGTTTTCTTTTCTTGAGTTTTTCTTAATTTGAATTTCAAGTAAGAATATGTGTTAGTTGATGTTGAGGTTTTTCCAAGACTTGGAAGAATTAATTCATGTTTTGTTTTTACTACACAATACACTAACTTTAGACATGGCTGTACACTTTTTCTCCTTCCTCTGAATGTGATACCTCTACGGTAGCAGTCTGTGTGCTGCTGTTTGAAAGTACAACCTATGGTACCATAATGACTTCCCTTACAAAGGGGATGAACTTACAAAGAGTATGAACTTTTCATTGGGATCCATTTGTTTTGCAATATACACCAGGAAAGGAAAAATTGATCTTAAATGTAGCTGTACCTTATTTGTCTTAATCCATTGGCTGGACCCATTTGCACTGAAGCACTAATCCCAAACTTAATGCTGTAATGCCTTTCTTAAGCAGTTCTACATTACCTTTGACTAGCTCTGCTGATGTGTTCTTCTTTTTAAAGGGTAGCATAACAACAAGTGTTTTCTTTAGAAATTCTGTTGATTTAAATGAGATGCACAACAGTAAGGTAGTAGGGTTTTTTGGATCAGGTTTTGTATTGCTATGGACTTATTATTGCTTCTTTTACTCATGCACTTTTGCAAAAATATTTTTTAAATGATCGAGAGAAAGGTATGTTTTAGTCCACCTTAGGAAAAGTCTAACAATGTAGAGGTAGCTCTGCTGACAAACAGCATAATACCATCTACTGTCTGACTTAGTGTGCTCCTTTAAAGCAAGTCTTTTCTGTCCTGTGGCAGGAAAAGGGAATAAAATAAATAATGGTGCACTTTAATTTCCTTGCTTTGACCTGCATGAATAATGGACACACTCTGCACGTTCTTTTCCCTCCCTGCTTCATATTTTGTTAAGGTGAACAGATTATTAATGTTTCTTTTTGTTCCATTTTGGGTTTGCTTGATTGTAGTTATTAAAAATAATCATCATGGCACAGCTGAGCCATGTCCTTCAACACTCCTGAGCTTCCTGGGTTTTCAAATAAAATCACAAATGAAAGCAAGCAGTATATTTCGGAAGGTTCTGGCACAGCTGTGCATAGCTGCCATGAAGAAACACTGTTTTTGTATCGATACGTTGGTTGTAAAATAAATTATAAAGTAGGAGATGAAGACTTGAGCATTTTCGTGGAAATAGGTAAGATGTTATTATTCTGTTAAGCTTTGTGTAGATAACTCTTCAGAGCAGAATCACTGCAGAGTGCCTGAAGAATGACCTAGTGACATACTTTCAGGAACATCTCAGTTATTGTCATTTAAAAATGGGACTACCCAAAAGTTGATTCAGTGTTACAGGTGAAAAATGGGAACTGACATGCTTAATCCTTTATTATGTTAGAATTAGCCTTTCTGGTTTGAAAGGAGGTCATCAAATAGATTCAAATTGAAAAATACAGATTATTTTCTTGCTAAAACATGGATAATACTTAGTACCTATGAGAAAATGGAATTTCATTTCAGTCATCTAAATTCAGTCAGTCATGATTTAAGCACATCATCTGAAATGTAGTCTGCATGTGAGCCGCATCATGCCTGTTTTAGGAGAGCTGCTGTCCTACAATTTTATTGTAAAGGAACTGAAAATTGGTCTATCTGGGTATAATTAGGAGTGCAGAAGCCTGGTTGAAAAGTAGGAGAGTGGTTCAGCTGGAGTGCATGAATGGGAGGTTCTTTCTCAGGTTTTGCCCACAGTCTGCTTTTCCTTAGAGCCAACAGTTAAGCTTCAGACTGTTAGACATCCCTTAGTCATTACCTGTCCTGTTTTTGCTGTCTTCATAAGACCAAGAGTCTTGGTGCTGGCAGAAAAATACCTTTTGTATTGTAGGCATGTAAGTAAGCATGGAAGGACGTGAGACCAGGTATACAGATCCCGTAAGAGGAAAGGAGAGGGAGGCTGCGTGAGAGCTTCTAATGATGATGCTATAGACAAAGTATTTCTTGTATTTTATCTTATGTGCGTCATCTCTGTTGCTCGCAGTTTGAAATTTATCTCCCTGTGTGTGAGCTAGAGGAACAGTTGCTACAGCACACATCATGGCGGTAGGCTTGAGCCCGCAGTAGAGCTGCGGACCTCATTTTCACATGCTCTGCGTAGAGCGAGCGTGTTTGGGCCGATGTGGCACGACCGAGGCCGTCGGTGTCTGGGCAAGAAGGCAGTGGCGTGGAGCTGGTGGCTGCTCACTATGGCTCGTCCCTGAGGACCGCGGCCGGCAGGGAGAGATTGGGGCAGACCATGCATCGTTGTCCCACTGGGTTGCCAATGATTCGCAAACCTTGAACTTGCCGAGATAGAGATGGAGCTGGAAGAAACCACATAAGGAGAACATGCCTGGGTGGAAAAAGTACCTGAAACTAGTCACTGACGTAAAAAAATTGTTGAGATTTCAGAAAGTAATTAGAATTGCTGTGATTGAAGTAGAATCTGATCTGTAAACTGATGTGTAAAATGATTTTTTTTCATAAGGAGAGTTGTGAAAAAACTTTGAATCTGGTTCCTGTTCCTCATCCCATCTCTTAAATTTTAGGTGGCCTAACTTCATACCCAGGAAACTGAGGAATTTTACATTTCAAATATTCATTTCAAGTATTTTTTTTTCCTTTGGTCACGTATTTAAAGATGGCTTTTATAGCAGTCAATTTTAACTATGGGGAAATGAAATTTTTATGCAGGCTTCATGGCAAAATGGGTTTTCAGTTATCTGGAACATACAGCTACTTTGTGCCATTATCATTAAATACTTGGCTGGAAAGTCTGTATTGTTGTTTTAACATTTGCTGTTCTGTCTTGGGAATGGGTGGTGCTTCTTAATCTGCTTCTACTTAAATCTTGGTGGAGAGAGTCATATTTTGTTATGAGGTAAGATTTCAGATTATTTATTGTCAGAGCTCTTCCCAACTGAAAAAATATTTACCGGTGAGAAGGCAGGATACTACTGGAGTGTTGGCTTCCCTTGCCTTCAGCCTGTTGCCTGGCACATGGCGGATGGTTCGGCGTGATGCTCGTGGCTCCGTTCTCTAGCCCTGCCTGGTGGGACGCAGCCTCGCTGCCAGGGAGCCGCGGGCAGTCCCCTCGCCGGTGTCTCCTCCACCTCCCGGCTGTGGCCGCCTGTAGGCTCTGGCTCTTGTCGGATGCGTCCTCTGTCCAGGGACTGTGCGGTGCGTTTGCTGGGGAGCTTGGATATGGTGATTTCAGAGGTGTTTTCCATCTCTAACGTCTGTCATTTGTTCCTGATGTAGGAGATAAGCCTGCACACGCCTCCCGAGGCTTGCTGTTTGCTTTAGTGATTTACAGGCAGTCAGAAGAGTTAAGTTGTGGCAAGAGAGGAGAAGAAGCAGGGGAGGCATGGGCATGAGTTGTGAGTGAAACCAGAATGCCCTGAAGGAGATAACATAAACCTCTTCCAAGGGCACCCAGAATTCTGTAAACAACTATTTTGCTTTCAGTGGACTCACTCGCCCAGTCAAACAAGTTTCTGGATATAATGTTTTTAAAATACAGGTGAAAAAAAATTCTAGAAAGTATTTGTGATACGTACCTTATTGACTCTCCAGGAACTTTTTCAATGGCATCTGTGCCTTTTTTTTTGTTGTTGTTGTTTTTTACATTTACTTTCTTTGTGAAATAAGGCAAAGGAAGTCATGGTGGGGAAGGCTCTGAGATGAGTGTGTCTTCAACCCGTAGGACAGCTGTTCACTGCCATGTGATACAACCTTTTTCATGGATGGGATGGGGCAGGGCAATGAGATGAAAGGTTCAGCTGGTTTTCCGATAGTTATGGGTATGTGCGGCATTAGCCATCCAAACTAATGTTAATGTTGACTACAGAAATGATCGCGTTCAGCTGTTAAGAACATTTTTTAACAATATGATCGGTAGTCATAGAGATGAATATTTGGTCAGATCAGTTGTTTTCTGGCATTATAGTTACATTGGATCAATTCTGTCATAAGTACGTTGGCGGAACATTTGTCAAAATTATTACTTGTTGCATACCCCTCTCAGCTGGTTCACAGTTTCACGACACTAAGCGATGTGCCAAAGCTCTTAGTCCTTGTCCCAGAGGCTTTGCGTAGGAAGACGTACCTGACTTTCAGTATATGAATTATAACTGCTAGAACATGAATAATTTTTTTTCTTCAAAAAAAAAGGCTAGGCTCACATAACTGAGAATAATCACTCTTTTTCTCTGTGTTGATGATGTTGACTGTTACAGCAGAGACTGCCTCCCTTTGCAGGGGAAAGCGTGTCTTCAGCATCGTATTCTTGGTACACAAGTCACTGCAGCATCTTTTTATCCAAATTTGCTTGCAGATTCCTCAGTAGGATTTGACCTGGTGCTGGTCAAGCGTTATGACTTACGTGGCCTTCTCGGAGTGGCACGTGAGTTGATATTTGCACCAGGCGCAGGAGTGTAAGCAGTTTGGATAAGGCTGAATGACTGTTGAGGCTGTACGTTTGCAGGCAATCATAGGAGTCTTGCAGGGCTTCTGCCTGAAGCCTGAATCGGCTCGTTGCATTAGTCATTTGTCAAGCAAGTAAATCTTCTCCCACACTTTTGGCTTTGTTTTCCGCATGTGGATCTCTAAGGAGGGTTAGGCCATCCTTGTGTCCTCTCAGGGGAAGATGGAGCTTTTTTAGCTTTCTGCCTTTTTCACCACAGTTATGGTCTTCTCCCCTCCTGGACACCCAGCTGTGCCAAAAACCTGCTATCCTGACAGGATTTGTAGCGGTTCTTTCTTGGCAGGAGTGTTGGGCAGGGTTGCGTCAGAGCACTTTTGGCCAAAAAAGAAGCTGGAACGTTTGTCAGTCACAAATCCATTCATAGAGAAGCTCGCTGATTTTGTGACACTTGGTATTGATTTACATTTTGCAAAATATTCCCAAAATCACTGTGTCCCTGAGATAATTTTTACTTTCAGACTTGAGACAGTGCTATGCCCGTATTTTGCTTTTTTAGTAGATCTTTACACATCTGCCTCTGGTGCTGTCCCTTATCTCATGGTGATTCTGATAACTGGTACAGGGCCCTGTTTCAGAGGAGGGAGGAAAGGAATGCACTTATATCTTTGATTATAAGAATTTTTGTAGTAACCATTTTTGCTCCAACATCGGTCAGGTTGAACTAAATCAGAGGCACTGATTAGCAAGCATGAACTGAGAGGGGAAAAAATGCTTTAATTGGTATTCTTCAAAGGCATTGATGTTTACAGATTATTCCTGCATTCCTGGCCTGGTTTTCTACTGTCAGATAATCTGACTGTACTCTTTATAATTGCCTATTCACTGTCTTTCGGCCCTTCTCTTTCTTAAGTCTCTCCAAGTTATCTCGTTGGACAGGACTTTGGACAATGGTAGGGCTTTTTCTTTGAAAGTACATAATCCCCATTAAATATGACTGGTGCTGACTCTGACCCCACTTGCCTGATTTCACAGTTTGCTTACCCAACTTCATTTTAAATGCTGTTGTTCTTAAATTTCACGTGGGGTAAGAATCAAGCCATCAATTTGGACTTGTTGTTGGTTTTTTCCAAATACTTTGCTCGCAAGACTATTGCTGTGTAAGTCTGAATGTTGTAAAATGCATATTCAAGAATGTACTTCTAACATTAAATGCTTCTTTTGTTTCTGGGGGGTGTTCTGGGCTGTCCCTAGCTTCATCAAGCGGATGTGGTGGTAGTTGGCAGTACAAAACCCGATGATGTTCCTGTGAGCTGGATGAAGCCTGGAACCACTGTTATCAGTTGTTCTCGTGACTTGCTGCCAGGTAAGAGGCATTAAAAGATAACAGTTCTTGAAAGTGATGTACGGCGAGACTTTGAGATAAGTGTGTGGCATGTTGGGGACAACGCAATGTAGTTAGAAGCCACGTCTTTGGGAAAGGGCCCTTAAAAGTGGGTGTTTGTGTACAGGGGATGTATACAGGTGTCTCTGGTGTATAAATAGGAAAAAGATGTCAGGTGAGGGAAGAAAGCCTGGGACAGATTCTTTATACTGAGATTGTTAAAGAAGTGATGATCCTATGGATTTGAAGAAATCAGAGGGAAGACTTTTGGGTCATCAAATGAGCTGTTACTTAGTGCTGCTTTGTACAGTGTGTTGTCCTGGGGCGTCTGTGGACTCAGCTGGAACATGGGGAAAAGAAAAGAGGAGCAAAAATTCAGCTACGAAGTGCTGTGAAGCTGTGTGCAGAGAATGGTGCAGGAGGGAGCAGAGAAATTGTGTCGCTGGGAACAGGCAGAATGTCTCCTGCAGTAATCACTCCTTCAAAAAGAGTTTGGATTCCCATCTCTCCTCCTGCCCTTGACTGGTTGGGGAGGAGGTATATCTTCATTAATTTCTCAGTTGAAAAATGCTACAGAATTTTATTAGGAATAGAACTAAGAAAGCTTCCCAGAAGTTACTCTATTCTACTGCTAGAATTGCATTTCCTGTAAAATTTCTTAAAGCCCTGTCAAGATCTCTAGATTTTTCATATGTATATGAATTTGTTCAGTGTCCAAATGGGATTATGCTGCGAATGAATAGGAAAATAAGGAAGTACATGAGTAGTGTGATTGGTTAATGTGTTTTTCTAAATCTGTCGCGAATGTACTTACTGACATCTAATGATACAAAACCGGGGAAATGGGCACAAGGTCAGGGAAAACTAATTGTATGGTTCTTAAACTAGGGATATTCCCTAAGGACAAATTAAGCAGACACTGTATGCAGAGCTAATGCAAGATCAGGCTCATAGTAAAGCGACTACTGTTCCCATGCAAAGCATGGCCTCAGCAAGAGATTCCTTTCCTTGTCTTTCGTGATATCCTCTTGACTTGAACACACACTGCGGGTGTGGGAGATCTGGGGGGTTATTATTCACTCAAGTTGTCTGAAGTCATGTGGACGTTCATCTTCCACCTCCCAGAACAGTGCTTTGACCCTAATGAGGATTTCAGGGGTGGGTACCAAGCCTTAGCCCTTACTGATGCGGAACAAGTTGTCCAAAAATAATTCATGTTTTCTTTTTCCTAACCTAGTGATTAGGAGATTTCTTGCGTCCTTAATGCCCACTTATTTTGCATAGGGATTGTTGGATATAATTGTAAAGTATCTGTGGGGCAGGGCTTGGAGCATAGGTCTCTTCGGCAGGTACCCAGCCTACTAATATAACATGCTCTTGTATGAAGAAGGAGTTCAGGAGAAAGGGAGAGGGGCAGAGAAGAGAGGGAATGGTGGTACAGGAGTAGCACCTATAAATAAATAAATGAAAAGGAATGACCTCTCCTCATTTTAGTCCTTCTAAGCAGAAACCTCCCAGGCGTCGGGCTGGGGGCAGAGGTGCAGGTCTATGAAGGCAGGATGGGGCTAAGCCAGTCCTTGCAGTCTGAGCGGGCAGAGCTAATGACGGAACTCTCCCAGCTCTGCCTGCTGCCTGGTGCCAGTCCCGCTTTCGGATACCTCGTTCTCTCCTCCTGTTGCAGAGGGAGTCTGGGTCTTCAGAGAGCTGAAGTTACCCGGTGTAACTGCATGCCATGTCTTGAGACTTGACTATCTTCATGCCTTAGTCGCTCTATAGAACTGTAGATAATATTAGTGTTTCCCTTCCCTAAAAGAGTGCTGTTAGGAAAACTGCATTAAAACATTTGAGTGGCGTTCACGTACCACAGCAACATTCATTCTTAAGGCAGGAAACGTAAGATTTGGCATAAGCATGTAGATTTCTTTACATTTTTCAAGTTGTAGCAGTGGGCTGTGCTAAGTACGGTATTTCTTTGGAGAGGCAGCATGGGAGTTTTAGCAAGATAATTTAAACAGAACTTATCTACCAAATATCCATCTGTCTTTATGGTTATAGTTTTGAGATTGTCAGAATCTTGGGAGAAACTCTGAGAGAATAGCAGAAATGCATTTTAGCAGCTGTAAAAAATGCTGGCCTCAAGACTTACTGGAGAGGTACGTGAAACACAGGTGTCTGTTTGACAGGAAAAATGCACTTGGTTTAATTGCAATATGTTTATTAAAAGCCTATTGCGGAGCAGTCGTGACCTTGGAGAAACAACTGAGTCTTAACAACTGACTCTTCATTTTCAATATGTGGTGGAATCTGGCTGAGGTGCTTGGAAATTGTTCTGCGTTTTTTCTTGCTTTAGAAATGTCCAACTTAACATCTGTGGGGTATCAGGAGCTAAATGAAGCCTGAAAACAACAATGGCCGATAAATAACTTTTATTCCGGCTAGATTTCTATCTTACGTAGGTACACATGTAGTCTAACACACTTGTATGTTTTAAAAGCACTCAAAATTTGCAAGGACACAGCTGAACTGGGCAGCTGTAATGATGTCGGCCAGGAGAGTAGAGCTAAAAGCGTTTGCTCCAAAGCAAGAATTCTTTTTCAAGTATTTTTTTTAATCTGATCAAAGATTAAATTATCTGTGTAAATTATCTGTGTAAATTATCACAACTTTAGAACGTTCTACAATTTCTAGCAGTGCAACGGCTTATTCTACTGCACTAATGATTTTTGGAATCAAGTGAGTGCTGGTAGTGGCTTGCAGGAAAGTACTTTATATGTAAATGTATAGAAATGAAGATCAAGTTTCAGAATAAAACTTAAGGATGCCAAAATTATTTGGGATTTGATGTCCAACTCTGAGGTCCCTTGAAAGCTGAAGCCCATATGCTTTAAGTGCGTTACTGGGGAATTCAACCGTTTCCCCACCTCTTCCCTACTCTAGTGCTGGACGTCTGCACGACAGGGTATGAGGAGATGGGCGAGTCGGAGGAGGGAGCACAGTGTCTGCAGTTCAGCTGATCTTCTGGCCGTACGCCACAGCAAAGAGAGTGCTATTCCGGCTCCCATCTGGAAAATTTCTCCTAAGAGAGCTGTTGCAATCCTGTGATTGTCTTGTTAGCTCATGTGTGCATGACTTTCACCTCTAGCTTCACCTTCGCCCCTGTGAAAGCCTGGTTAGTCATTTGTGGGGTGAGTCTGTAGCATAGGCAGCCTGAGAGAAGTAGTTTGTTGAAGGGAAACGTCTAATTCTGATATGTATTTACACACATGCTGGCTCTGCCCTGATAAAGAAATTGTATTAAACCAAATAACGTAAAAAGTCGAGATGTTTCTGTAAAGCACAGCTGTCTGAAAGGGGGATTTTAAACTTCATTCTTCCTACTTCATTTGTCTCTTTGGCAGCTCTCCCAGCCTGGTCTCAAAGCAGCAACAGTCAACTTAGGACTGCGATAGACTGTTCCAGTAAAACGCCTCTGTCTTGCATCTAAAACTGAGCATCTCCAGAAGAACTTTTTTTTTTTTTTTTTTTTAAATGGCAAGTGTTAATCCAAGTAGAAGGACTTTTCAGACACTTACTTCATTAGAGTTTAATGTCAGGACTGTCACCTTCTGCTTGGTTAGCTTTGTCACTGACGTAAAGATGCCTGCTGGCAAGAAAGTTTGAGAAAGGATTAGAAATCAGCCTGAATGAGGCTGAGGGTGCTTGCAGGAAGGGTCCCTTGCTCTCCGAGGTGCGTGTGAGCGCGGTCTGGAGCTGGGCGCAGGGTGGTGGGGTACTGTGCCGGCCCCTCGACACCCCTCTGCCTGCCACCAGCCCCGGCCTGAGCTTTGTGCCCTGCCACCACCGGGACCCTCGTCAGGAGGGGCGCCTGTGCAGGGCAATGGGAGCGACTTGTGGTCGGCGCAGGTGGGATGAGTAGGGCGAGAGCTCGACCAGGTCAGGGTTTGC